CAGAGGCACAGCACTCCTTCAGCCCCGCCACCAGGAAGAGGCTGCTGCTGCCCCTGCACATGTGCATGGCAGGAGGCATGATTTTGGTATCACGCATTAGATTCCATTGTGCCTTATTGCTGGTGCAGGGGCAGCCCAATCCCAGGCTCCCCCTGCATAGACAAGAAGTAAACTTCCACAGCTGGGAGTCCCCTCAGTTGAGAGGCTTCTAGGTGTAGGTGTGCCTGCATGCACTCCCAGGGCTGGAAGATCACAGCAGTTATACTCTGCCAGGCATGGGTGACTGGTGCCTCTTGAGTCTGGGGGGGCACCAGCAGGGCTTGACTGGGGGGGGTGTCCCTGAGCGGGGCTAAATTTCAGGGTGGGGGGGCACAAGTGCTCTCCATGCCCCCCTACCAGCCAGAGCACTTGCCTATGCTCCCAGGCTCAGGAGTATGCAAAACCTTCAGAATCTGGGAATCATGGATGCCTTGATCCCCCAGGCCTGGGGTTTTTACACTGGGCATGATGCACCCCTGTGCCTAGGAGTTCTGCTAGGTGACAGGGCTCCCAGCCACAAAGGGAGACCCTGCTCTACACGCAAATTAGAGCTCAGTAGCAACCAGCTATAAAGTTAGTACACATTTTGAGGCCTAACTTTATAACTGGTTGGAGTTTTATACCTTGTGATAAGTACTTTACCTGTAACCTTAGTACCAGCTACATATGCATTGTGCAGTTACATGTAGAGGGAGGGGGCCATAGTGAGAGAGATTATGGCTCCCTCCTATTGCGAGTTAATAATTAGCATGCTATTCTGCTTGCCCATGACAACTGAGCATAAAGTTCCTAAAATGGAACTAAATTAGAGACTGATCCTAAAGCCTTTACTCAAGTAAGAATCCCAGTAAAAATCAAGCAGGCTACTTATATGACCAAGAATTGTAGGATCAGAGCCTTAGATTCCAGTCCAACATAAGAACATTAAAAAGCATCATTTGTAACTTTTATATTATTAAGGATACTTGTTCAGGGTCTATAATTAAGCCTAAAAGAGATGTCTCCTCCTTTTGCCAGCAACTGTGTTGCATCAATTAAATGGGTAAATAGGATCTTTCCCTAGAGGGGGTACCATGTGACCCTATATTGATTAAGAGTGCAATGGAACGTTATTTGCAATCTTATTGCATAATGGAAATCAGGAGGTAGCCGTCATGGTTTCAGAAGACAAATTGCTGGTATCTGAGAATTCATAGGCTTCTTTCCTCCTTGCTGTTCTCAATTTACAGCTAATGCTTGTCTTACATGGCTTAGTTTCCTAAAAAGCTGTCTACTACACTGTCTTCAGCCCTGAAAAGTGGTAATCTTAATATAGATGTTAAAGTGACCATTATGTCTAATCATTACTTCAGAACTACGCTTTATTTAAGAGGGTAGTGCAGCTTCAGAAGAGGACATGGAATTGGAATCTAGGTACAGGAACCCACCCAAACACGGCTCAAAGGAGAGAGGGGAAAAATGTTGCTAGCCACTTTTAAATTTCATTGGTGTCTTGTGTACCCTGACTTTTAGAGCAAGAAAATTATTTGACTAGTGCAAGTCCAATACTTCCAAGTTTACATTCTGACTATGGACCGAGATCAACCATTTGCCCAAATCAGTTCCTCAGCTAAAATGGAGAGCCAATATATTCTTCACTGTAAGCCAAAAGAAAGGACAGAAAGCAATCTCCTTCAGAACATTTGAAGGCAAACTCAGGATAAGGTATATTTTTAGTGTGTGAAAAAACCCCACCTTCATTTTGAGAAAGCCTTAAAAAGATTATCAAGTTCTACTTAAATTGCCCCCTTCCTTCCTTTCTCATTTAAATCAGTCAAAATTAAACAAAGCATACAATAATTTTCAAAATGCTGATCACTTAATGCCTGATCCTGCACCACTGACTTCCTTAACAAGTTGTGCTCGCTGAAATCCATGTTAAAGTCATATTAGAATTACTGTAAGACTTTTTAATAGAAAAAAAATCAGCATGAATATGGGTTGGAAGCAGACAGTAACAAACTCAGAGAGAAGTTAAAGCCATTGCATATACTAAAAGCAGCTAGCATCTAACTTAACATTATCTGTATACTATGAAACAGGATTGAAAATTAAATGTTAGCTGCACAATCAGTTCTGAGTTATTGATTAGAATTTATTCATCTCTCAAATCTCACTTGACAAGTTTAGATGGGCAGGTTTACTTTTCTACCATTTATATTGCAGAACTTAATAAAAAATACATTCAAGAAAAGTAATAGTATGTCAGTACAAACACTATACTAAACTGATCTCCCATAACCACTATCTAGACCAGAAGAAGAAAGAACTATATATCACTTTGTGAAAATTATGGAGGTTGAGATTTCATGGGTGACATTTCATGACATTTTATTCATCTATTCACACAAATCAATATCACTAGCCTATTACAAGCTTATTTTCCCATTTACAGAAAGTATCTGGTCCTCCCACAAATGGATTTCTGCTGAAAACATCTATATGATTTTCTTGGAAATACGCAAAGTAAGCCAAACCAAGTCTTGAATGTGGAACTAAATACAAAGCCAATGTGAACAATGACAAAAGCTAGAGAACTAAACAAATGAGACCACATGCCAGCCTCTCCATTTTCTATTCCATTTAGCTTTTATGGTTTTCTAGTTGTCAGTTAATTGACAATGAACTATTACTAACTTTTCTTTCTTGGCCTGTCATACTGAGACATTATGGGCTTGAATGTAGCCTGTCTATGTAAATCACCTATGTAAATGACGCAAGAACAAATCCATAAGGCTCATTCAAATATTATGATTATAGTTAGGCTACACACACATGTTCAAATAAACTGGAAGAATTATCCTGGGTTTTCCTAGTAGGAAACATAAAAACAAATAACACCACCACAGAAAAACAAAACCCTTATTCCCTCAGTCTACCTGGAGGCAGATGGCAGCAGTACATAGTGCACCCCTAATTGGTTCAGATTAGCCTGCATTTCCCTGCAACACAATGTGTGGATTGTGAAGGGGGGAGGTGCTTTGCCCTCTGCTGGCTGGAGCAGGAGAGTCCAGCACACAACATACTGTCTCCTGGGGGTGGGGGACAGGAGCAAAGTACCCTGACATTCTGGAAGACTGCTATGGCCTCTTCCCAGAAGAAAATGTATACAGACATTCATGCTCCCAGGAGAAAAAACTCTCCAGGATTTAACCCTGTTTTTTCCCCAGGTTCTTTTTCTCCTGTACCATCCATTTTTGCTCTGGGAGAAAAAACCTGAGCATCTGTATACTCATGGTTTCTACTGAGAGCACAATGACTTGGGAAAAACTGAATATTTGTACATGGCCTTAATTTCCTATTTCTCCAATTTGAGATCAAATGGAAAATCTTTCTAGAAATATTAGTGCTTCACCAGGGGTAGAGATCTTTAAACCCATTTCATAATGGGCCTGATCCAAAATCCTCTAAATTAATGTGTGTTCATTTTGCACAACTAGTTTATAGACAATTGTGCTTTTGGAAACATGAAGCCAAAAATAGTAGATCTCCATTTGGACCAAGAGAGGAAATTTGACTGGTCAGGTTCACAAATAATTATGTAATAAAAATAGCATCCATTATGTTCATCATCCCCCAAAACAAAAAAAATACAACAGTTGAGGTTTTTCAGAGGGGTCTCAATCCAACAAGAATCTCACTTACAATTTTAGACCAGTGGTATTAAACACTATTATATCAAACTTGGAAAAAAACCCACAAAAAAAACAAGTGTACTAAACTGCATCCCGGACTAAACTACTCAAAAGTTTGTGCCAAATCTGCCTGATATTATCAACTGTTCACATTCCCATTAGGACCTTTACTTTAAAGAGAGGCACATAAACATTTTGTAGATAACACTTTCAGTAACTATATCACAGTTGAAGAGGATGGATAAGGTTTCCGAGTCAACTGGTCTAATATTTGCTTCCAGAAGTATACAGTGTTTTCTCCAGTACAGGTAACACAATAACTGTCCCTTTTTCACACAAAAAAATACTCCCCACATAACAGTCCATTAGTCAATGTGGACAACTGGAAGAAATCCAATGTTAAAAAAAAAAAAAAAAAAACAACGACCAAAGCCTAGAAAGTAATAAAATCCCCATGCACTCCTGTTACACATTTTAATTCCGAGATGATGTTTAAATAAAATACATTCATGGAAGCCAAGTTTTAAATGTTCATACCATTAGAATCTTTGTTTTCAAAATACCCCAAAGTATTAGCCTAATTTAAGAACTCGCTGCTTGCCAAATATCATCAGTTTGAAATCACGCAAGGACAGAAAAACATTGTTAATAGACAGCTCTCTGTTTTCCTTTAGAAAATTCATAGTTAACATTATCCCAACTTAATTAGAACTTAACAAGTAAGAGGAGATGACACTCCAGAATGATGTAATAGCCAGCAGAGTTCTCTTTCTATTTTAGAAGTTAATTCCAGGAAAAAGTTACACAGCAGGAGTTCTAGGCCCTTGAAAATAATAATAATTTATAATGCAAGCACTCACCAACCCTGTTGCCAAATCTTGCTTATCCTACTCACATGAATAACTCTATTATCCCCTATCAGTAAGATTGTTTCTATGATTTCTCTTTTATGCTATGGGGCAGGATATTAATATTAACACTTTCATATTTTGGGTGAATTTTAACAAGCAATGTAATTTCAGTCACGTAGGACTGACATGCTGAGCGACTCCTAGAAGTTGCTGCTCATTCTGCTCCTAGTGAAACCAAACAGAATCCAGAATGATGGACATTACCAAAGAGGCACTTACTACCTTGAAATATAAGGCCTTCACTACCTTGTTTGAGGTAAGTTATTACTCCAGATTTCGACCCTTTAGTTCTTTCAAATACCACAATCATATTACATAGTGTATTCTGGCAAGCATTTAAATGAAAAAAAGTAAAAAAAAAAAAAACTTTACCTACCTTAAAAAGTCTTAAAATATTTGCAACCATGATGGACACCGAACTTGCAGCAGCACCTATTACACCTGATATCTTATCAGGCTTAGTGAAAATAGGGGGATCTCCATTAGCACACTTTACATCTGAACCATCTTTTTCTATCAAAGCTTGCACAAATGTTAAGGATTGCTCCAAAGCATAAGTGTCCCTGGAACAAGTATCAAGGATCCGGACACCTAAAGTGATATTGGCAAGTAGATCAGGGTCCTTATTGATCTGGTCTATTGCATACAGCATTGCCTCTAGTCTGTGAATCCCCTTCTCCTTCTTCAGCTCTCCACAAGGCACCCCTCTATCCCCTTTTGAATGGACAGGAAACAGTCCTCCCAAGATGATGTCCCCATCCAGTCGAATGGAGTGAGCATATTCCTGGCCACAAGTTCTTTGCATCATAGTGAGTATCCAGTAGAATTTGGCTGTTAATAAGAAAAAACAATGGCAGGAGACTAGTCGCTTTCCTTTGTATACCATTTTCTCTGAATATGTTGTTTCTTTCCAAGACCCGAAGTTTCTTGTTGCTAAAGGAGAAGGTGGACCATTTGTAGCTACACCTTCTGTAGGCTACCATTAGTGCCCACTGAATAACAATATAGAACTGTGCAACAGGTAGAAAATAGATGTCAACAAAAGTTCTTAAAACATGTTTTACAAAAATTGCCCATTAGTGTCAAGGGTAAATTTTTTTTTTTGGAGAGGTGTTTTCAGCTATTGTAGATTGATATAAAAACTTAAGTTAGTATTTCTGGTCCTGATGCCAGGAGGAGGTCAATGATTTCTGTCCTTGTATGTTGTCCCGCAGCTGAGGTACTCCTGAAAATTAAGTGAAAAATACAGTTTAGTTCAGCAATTTTGTGCTTGTCACACTGTATACTTACTTTTGAACATGAGTTACATAGCCTAGGTTTTACTTCCATTTTCTGTAAGGGATTAATTCTTGGCCCTCTGTGAATTGGAACACCTGGCTGCACTGTACTAAGAGCTGAGAGATTGATGACACCAGCAAAGCAAAAACAATACTGAATTGACTAAACTTAGCTTGATGTTCAGAGTCAGATCAGTAATTTTTATTTACCTTTGCCTTGCATAAAACATCCAGAAATAAAGATTACAAACCATTTTGTTTTGTAACATATCTCCAATTGTGTTGTTCTAGATGCATTCATGATACTACAGTTTAGGCCAGGTACTGGTCCTACAAAGACTTGTCTACATGTAATTTGTAGTTCTACTGATTTTATGAACATCGATAATTTAACTGAAGTCATGTACACATTTGGCTTTTTGCAGTACATGGCCATAAGCTCTTTGTATAATAACCCTGTTATTTCTCCAGCCCAAATTACTTTTATTTCTGTTCCACATGCAACTATGGTGCTACATAAATAAAAACTTTAAAATAAATTAATAAAGTTCCTAAGCAAAGGGGTCAAGATCTATTTTACATATTGAGGAACAGCAATAGCTACATCGCAGTTTTATTTTTCAGGCCTCTTTTACCAAAAAACAAAACACACACACACACAAACACACACACACACACACACAAACCCCTACCAGTGGTTTCATTGGACTAGAATTTCATCCTATATGTTTAAACATCTGACTAATACTCTCAAGTATTTCTAGAGCACTTAACACCCCAGTATGCAAGCATCAGTATCTAGACATGCAAATGACCTAACTAACCTCTTCCAAAATAACGACAAGTAATTTTAGGAAAATCTAAACTCAGATATCATCAGTATTTGGAAGAGAATATATCACATTTGAAGTATTCCTTCCACCCCACCACACCCTCAATTTTGTCTTAGTATGGCCTAAGGTAATGTAATTCCAGTGCAACTCAATAATCCATTAAACTGATCATCTTCCCGTAAATTGTATTTATTTCAGTTTTCCCCTATCTGAATATTACTTAGATCACAAAAGCTAAGTAAGAATTTTGAAATAATGGATGCTTGAAGACCTATGAAAGAGAATCACAGTAGAGTGTCATCTGTTTAATGAAAAAGTATCTCACTGTGATCCAGTAACAAAACAAAGACTTGAAAATGAAACATGTATAGTTGGTGTGAATAGAAGCATTGCTATTGGGAATAGTAGAGCACTGGGGTGTATAAAGCCCAAGATTTTCAATACCTTAAAATATTTAGGTTTAGTTTGGTTTTTAAATTTAGTATAGGAGCCTAAAAGGAGAAATATCCTTGCTGATTCGCTAGTCTCAGTTTTCTCCTTTGGACTCTTAACAAGTGTAAATTAATAAAAGCCCAATAAGTTTACTGCCAACTTTGAAAAACTTAACTCAATGGTCTCATCCAGACAAGTGTGGCCATGCAGTATGTGGTGCTGCAGACATATCTGCAGTGCCACGTGCCGTACATTCAACCATTCTCCACACCACAAGGAAGCAGTGGGGGTTTTGGGGTGCGGGGGCGGCGGGGGTTGGACCCCTGGTTATCCAAAGAAAACATGCAAAAAAAGCAGAGCGGCGCATGTGGGAATGCTGCTCAAAACCAGAGTCTGGCTGACCAAAGTCATGTTCCAACTGCCAGCCAGGCTTCAAATAGCAGGATTGCCACTGCTGCAGGCCCAGGAGGCCCCCAGGACCCTAGATAAGGCTGCTGGGGCCAAACCAGTGCTGGCCCCAGCCTCCTCTACCCCACCTGGGTAATCTGTCGTGTGGCAGAAGGCGCATGGCTGAGGCATTCCCCGGGGACAATTAACAGAAGCACAAGGTGTTCTGCTGCTAGTTGTCCCCAGGGAACCAAACGTCCACACTCATGTTGATGCAGCCAACTTGTTCTTGGTTACACAAGCAGAAACTGAGGTAACTCCAATGATTTCAATTGCATTAAACCCAATAGCATAACTAAAGGGGGGGAGGCGAAGGGGAGGAAGACCAGGACACCAACCTTCAAGGTGCTGCAAAGATAGTAGCAGCTGTGCTTCCAGCATTGCTACTGCTCAGGACATTCAGAGGCCCAGATACACCTCTGGTTAATCCAGATTTATATTAAAGTAGCTGAGGGCAGAATTGAACTGCTGTGTAGAGAGAATTATAGGATGCATCATTAATGGATAAGAACTGGTTGTTAACTTTACTGTCCCAATAGGGAAATATGACTATGAAATCAAAATAATAAGATGGATACAGTCACAAAAATATACAAAAACCCCAATCCTCATCTATACCAAAAGTAACTCACAAATATGTTATTTCCTTTCTGTTCTCTTTGATCATTATTAATAAACACATTTAGACAGTACATAGTAATGCAATTTTAAAGTATTCTGGAATCATTTTCTTTAATATAAGAAAACTTGAAATGGCTCTTATTTAATACCATATAACTATTTAGAAGATGAGGATAAAGAATCAAAAATAAAGTCTCAGAATAGTCATGAGAAAACTGCTTTCCCCACTCCTCCCAATATTGTTTGGTGCTCAATTTGACTAAAGTCCATTTACCAAACAAGAAAGACTCTACTCAGACTAAAGCTTCTGAAATATTCTTATACACCAGAACAACAATTGCTCAAACAATGCTGTAGCCCAATTTCTGAAGGAAATACAGGAGAAGCAGTGGGTCCATCACTTTATCTAGGATGAGTAAGTTTACATTGACTAAAAGTTTTAAGTAGGGTTGAAATGTTATCGTAGCCACAATGACTTTTGGAAGCTTTAAAAATATATCATAGGAATTTTTCAATGTAATATTATAGTTTAGTATTAGTCACACTGTCATATACAATTAATATTTTTACTTTCTAAAAAAGAAGTATTTGTTTCATTGCTCTAATGGCCATAATCTGTCTATACAATGAAAGGAAATTGTGTATGAAGATGTCATCTTAATTTAATACATTTTAATCTTGTTTTATGTCAACTAAATAATAAAAACCCTTATTATTCTGCTTAATTTATTCATATCACATATTTTTGCTATAATGATTAAGCGTTGTAGCAGGTTGTAAGCTTGCTAAACTAAGCAGAAGACATTTTATCTAAATTACTTTCATTTTTATCAATGATTTTTAGTTAAATATAAAATATCGACAAGCTGGGTTATAAATCCAGACAACCTTATTTCATATTCAAAATGAAATGTAATTTAGAGTGGCCATAAACATCTGAATTAATCCAAATATTCTGGATTTACCAGAATTTATATAATAGTAATTAGTGCTTACTGGAAAAGTTACTTGAAAGAGGAAATGTATACATTTCTCCAGCACTGACCAAACAGTTTTAAGCAGAAGTGCAGACTACTTCAAGTAAAGTCTTACTGACTCTCAATTTCATTAAAAACACATCTGGTAGTACCTGAACCTGTCTCGTTTCAAAACAAAGTTCACAATACAAACTTCAACTTCATTTTCATTCTGCTTCATTTTCTTATCTGAGTGCAACTAGAGGTGAGCATGAATGTGGGAACTTTTCTAACAGAACTAAGGTAGCTTTTAGCTTCTGAAATTATTAGTATTATTAAAAGGTCATATTCATAGTTTGGTTATAGTAGAGCTCGGGCTCAGAATATACTGGAATTCTGTATTATAACAAGCCACACAAGTCCCATGACTACTGACATGAGAACGTGTGTTTGTTTCTGAGGGTGTGCAAAATTCGCACATATGCAATAGGACTATTAATAACTCTGATCAAATACTCATATTTAATAGAGCTTTTTATATTGATGAACTCTAATTGGGATGAAATGATAAATAATGAAATAAGATATACAATGGCTTCATTTTGACTACTGAAAAAGGGAAGTTGTAAATTTACAGTTGTGCCACTTAAAAGAAATACATATAGCATAACAAACTGTTATTTTAAAAAGAAAATTCTTAAAAAAAGAAGATATCAAATCACATAACCCCACACTGATTTCAAGAAGCGCCATTTCCCTGCCTGTGATTCAGACACTAGAAGATCCATGAAGGCTGTATGAGTCTGTTGGATAGACGGGACTCTTCACTGCGGCAACATAAACGGACATGTTTTTGGTCCATGCAAAAATGTTTGCAGTTTTAAATGTTTGCAGGCCATTTCACATATTTAATGAAAGTTACAATAGTTCTTTAAAACATAATGACAAGTGAGATTGACTCATCCAAAATTCTGAAATGTTGCTTTTTATTTAAAACTTGATCTATAACAGTATAAAATGAAAATAAAATTACTATACAATAGTGTTAAAAAAGCAAAGATTTTTGGACACTCAAAATAGATCTTTCCCTGTAAGAGATCTGTCAAATTGTTCATATTTATGAAAACGGATCTTTTTTTGTGAAATACAAATTTGTCAAAGTTTTGGAGAGAGAAAATCTCAAATATTTGGAACTTAATCATCAAGATCATGTTTTCATTTTATAGATCATAGAATGCATGTTGCTGGAATACTCCTGTATTCTCCCTCCCTCTCCCCACAAAAATCTTCTTTTAGCCATGTGCAATATTCAGGAATGAGGAAAATGGCAAATACAAGTAGAGAACAGGAAAAAAAGCATTGCCAACTGAGTACAGCAAATCGAATTTCATATAGAAACAGACTGTCAGCAAAAAGAATCAATGCAAGGGAATTCTGAGTCTTAGCACCTGACACACTGCAACTTCTAACTTCCAAGAGTACTTCTTACTTACGTAAGTAGTCTATTTACTCAGACTTATGAGTAAAGATTTCCTGAGAAAACGTATTACACAACAATCAAAACAGGCAAATCATCATCAATGCCCTGTCCACAGGAACTACTTTTTCATAGTACAGCATGGAAAAAAATGTCTCAGATCAGTCTCTTCACACACATTTCACTGCCGCTTCAGACACCCCCAGAGCGTCTGCCTTCACATCCTATCCTGGAGATCTCTCTCTTCCAAACAAGCTATCTTTATAAAAACAAAACCAACCTTCTCCAAGAGCAAGTCTAATAAAAGCTGAGAGTTAATAGATAAATGTTCCAAAAGAAAATGATTTCAGGTACTTCCTCCTGTCCGGGAGTAGTTTTACAGCTGAACAAACTCTATCAATACCAGCATCTTTCAGAATTAGTTTTCACCCCTAGTCTAGCAGGTGAAAGGCAGGGAATTTTTCCTACTCAGCTGAGGTGAGGTAGATTTCTCTCTCCTTCCCCTCCTCTCCACTAGACTTCAAACCTCCAGCCAACAGATTGTTGCAGCCATAGTTTAAAGAAAAATCTATCACCTGAAATACTCTAACAGGGGCAACAAAGAACTCAAAGGTAAAGGAGGGTAAGTTTTTTCTTGAAGCGACTCAGAATATATTTGCCAAAAAAACAAAAGGAAAGAGCACAGGAAAGCATACATGGTTAATACCAAAGGAAGATCAACTCGTGCTCAATGCACTGATGAGATTGCTCTAGAAGAAGAGCCTTACATGAAGATTATCATGATAATTCTTGCCAAGGTCAACGCCAGCTTGAGCTGGTTGATAATTGCGTACAGCCAAGCTTTCCAAATGTTCCTCCAAGTTCAAACATCAAGAGAACCCATTGGCTTTCTGTAGCTGATCTTTTTTCTCCCTCTTCTTCCCAGTTGCCTTTATATAAATAATGATACCCTAAACTTCTATAGTTTTTTTTTTCATCCCAGGACCTCAAAGTGCTTTACAGATACTTATCCAATCCTTTTAGATTTGTCTCTCTTGGAAGAGTCACTGCTGCACAGTGAATAGACCCAAGAACCATTTCATCAGTTAAATAGGAAAGCTGTTTCACCACTTTTCCTGCTTAACTGTACAGATATCAACCATTGCCTCAGCTGTGAATCTTCTAAGAAGGGAGCCCTCTATTGTTCTCTGCCTTTACTTAACTAAGCTTTTTTTTTTTTTTCCCAAATCTTCCTAGACTCATCTCTACCACACAGTTTGCTTCTGTCACAGAGGAATCCTATTAAAACATCAGCTCTGCTAGCTCCACTACCCGGGGCCTGTTTCCTTGTAATTAGCAGCTGCAGTATTTTAACAATTTTACTACTCAACCATCTTCCTTGGAACCTAATAGCCTTGTGCAAGGTAGACATTGTACACATGCAAATTACCGGATTAGAACCAAATGCTCCTGTTGTTCATTAATACAATCCATTAAAAATAAAAAAAGAGAGAAAGAAACGGGAACCTAATCAGAGTGAACCAAACTTTGAGCCTCTCTGTGGAAACAATCACCGCCCTCCCCACAGAGCTGCAGGCGATTGCTTCTTCTTCTCCTGAAATCCAGCAGTCACTTTTAATATCATTGCTCCCCACCCTCCACCCCAAGAAAGAAATATTCTTTTAGTTGAATCATCACCCTCAAAAATCAAAAGGTTTCCAGCTCTGAATATCCAATAATTACTGGCGTATTTTAATGCGTTAACTTTTCAAACACTTATGATTTTTGCAAGAAAAACATGCACTAGGCAGTGAATATATATATACATACAGGCAATCTCTCATTCTCTCTAGATAGATACACAGACATATAACCTTTCTCTTTATAAATATATCTATATATCTCAATGTGTGTAGATAGATACACAATCTCTCTATATATACAGATTTACCTGTGTGTATAGATGTAGATTAGATAGATACACACACAGTCGATATATGGATATAGATACACACATCCATATGATCTCTCTCTCTTTCATATAGATATATAGTTATAATGGAGAGAAAGATTATACACACACACACTTTTTGCTGTCTAGATATATAGACAAACAGACAATCTCTCTCTAGACACACACACAATCTCTCTCTCTCAGACAGATCTTTATCTAATCACCCCCGGAAGAGCTCACACTTCCCCACACCATCCCTTGGGAGAGCAGCGGACCCCTCTCGCGGTTATTTGGGGTGGGGGACTGCAGGAAGCATCCAGGGGCAGCGGGATTCCCCTTCTCGGCGCCTCGAAGCGGGCCAAGCCGAGGCGCGGGGGATCCGGCGCGGTCCGGGGTCGC